GGCGTTTATGCGTGCCAGGGTCGGAGAGCGTGGCAGGCGTGGCACTTTCTCGACATTTGAGGGGGTCCGCAGGGGTTTGTCCTTTATGCGTGGCAGAGTCAACGCAGTGGGTGCGCAGGGGATGGTCCCTCAGCGCGGCCCCACATGCGTGCCAGGGCGGGAGAGCGCGGCATGCGTGGCAGCCGGAACTGTAGACATCCTGGCCCGAAAATTGCACCCCCGCGCCGCGCATGCCGCCCAAATGTCCCATTGACGCACTGCCGCCTCCGTGTGTGAAGCTGCAGGAGTCCATGACAAACGCAGGCGTCGAGGTTAGCATTGTCAATTTGCGCAGTTGCGAGGCATCTCTGGTGAAACACGCATTTTACTCTTACCGCCGACAGCTGCAAAATTGGTGGCCTGATACGCTTCTCAAGAGGTACGATGAGCTGCTCCATCAAGGCGGGGGCGACGATACCAGGAGGCTGTGCTTGGTAAGGTACCTGCTGAACCCTTCATCTGGCGGGTTCCCAGCTGATCAGCCAGGAGTGTCGGAAGAGGGTGATGGGTCGCCGTTGGCGAAAGTTCGGCGAGTCGGCGATGCTGACGACGGGGGCGGTGCCACGCCCGCGCAGGACACGCCCATCAAATCCACGCCGATGCAGGTCTTCACACATCAGCGTTCCCCGGCAGTTCTGCTTGCTACCTCTGTTCGTTCCACAGGCACCCCTCGCATTCAGCTGTCCCCTGAGCCGGCTCGGACGGACCGCCGTTGGGCAGAAGTACCTTGGGCGCAAAGTTTGCGAGAATCAGTTCAGCTCGAGAACCTGTTGACGAAAACGGATAAGAAAGCAGTCACATGGCACAAGGCATTCGCGGCCAAGCGAGCTTCTGACCCGGAGTACTTGCCGTCGAGGAGGGGCGACGATGCCGATTTGTGGCAGGCGCTTTACGAGTACTCTACGAACGCTGGATCCTACAGAGTGGATGTACCTACCCTTCGTCTGTTCGCGCTGCAGCCTGACATGCTCGGCGTCGCCAGCGCCAAGTTCTACGGGAAGGTGAGCGACGCCGCCCCCTGGCGTTGGACGTTTCGAGCTGCTGCTGATCATCGTGGCGTCGACTCTCTGCGAGACGTTGGAGAACCAGCGCGCCCCTCGCGGCAGGCTCGTGTGGCTGCTCTGCTTGATTGGCCTGGCTGGCTGGTCTGATTACTTTGGCTGGTTATGGCTGGAACAACTGTGCCGACTGGTCTGGTCAGTCCGGTTGGTCTGGCTGATCTGGCTGGTCTGGTCAGTCTGGCTCGTCAGGATGGCGAAGCGGGATGTGATATGGTTTGTGAACACACGTGGCATAAAATAAGTATGTGGGGTTCCTCGGTAGCGTAATTCTCGCTCTCTCTGTTTTTTTTTTTTTTGTTGTTCTCTCTCTCTCTCTCTCTCTCTCTCTCTCTCTCTGTCTATATATATATATATATACATATCGGAGTAGGCCGGGGGGGGGGGGCGGCTGCTGCCTCTGGTCGCCATGGGGGCCCCCCCGGGCCATTTTTTGGCACCCACCCCTCACGAGGATCGTGGCCCCCTCGCCCCCAAGACGGTTTCAGGGAGGCCCAAGAGGGCCTCGTTCGAAATCATGTTCCCGGAAGCCTCTCCGGGAACATGATTTCCGGGTTCCGAGGACGCCCAAGAGGCCCACATGACAGCCTCAGCGAGGCCCAAAAGGGCTCCTAGAGGGCCTTCAAGAGGCAAACATTTGCACATTTCCATAGTAAAAAGTAGTTGTTCGGCATACTCGCTGGCTTCGTCTTCGCAGTGCCCCAGACGCCCCCGCGGAGCCCCAAGACAGCCCAATAGAGACCCAAGAGGGCCCCAGGCGGCCCAAAAGGGTCGGCCTGTGAGGCTCACCGAATCCCCCGAGACGGCCCAAGAGGCCCCAAAGCCGGCCCAGGAGGCCCCCAAGACGGCCTCAGGGAGGCCCAAGAGGGCTTCGATCGAAATCATGTTCCCGGAAGCCTCTCCGGGAACATGATTCCCGGGTTCCCAGGACGCCCTAAGACAGCCCCCAGAGGCCTTGGACACGCCGAAGATGACTTCAGGACGGCCGTCGACGCCGCCAAAACGCCCCACGAGCGCCTCCAGAGGCCCTCCAAAGGGCCCCAGAAGCTGAAGATCATGTGTGTTCCAATGGTTTTTGTAGCAGTCTTGCGCTCTCGCATGTTCCGCCCCCCCCGGTCCCGGACCGCGTCAGAGACCCTTCAGATCGCTCCAAGACGGCTGAAGAGGCTCCCAAGAAAACCCAGAGACGGCCCAGGAGGCTCCCAGATAAGTCAAGAGGGCCTCGAGAGCGCCCCAAGAGAGCCCCAAGAGCGACCCAAGAGGGCCCGAAGAGCGCGACATTTCAACATCTCCAGCCTGAGAGGCTCCCAGGACGCCCCCGGAGGCCATCAAGAGGCTCCCAAGAAGCCTCCCAAGAGGCCCCCCGGAAGCCCCAATAGGCCCCCAAGGGGCCCCCAGGGAGCCCCCTGCGGGCCCCCAAGGCACTTCGGAAATCGCATTTCCTAGATGGCTTTCTGGGAACATGATTCCTTCGGCTTCCGCCCACCGCCCCAACCATGTTTCCCAAGGCCAAAAGGCGCCCCTCGGTAAGCCCCCAAAGGCCCCCCTCTTAGAGAGCCGAACATATCATGCACCCGGAAAGCTTCCCGGGAACATGATTCTCTATCTCGGAGTAGGCCCCAGGAGGGGGTGGGCGGGTCGCCGCCTGTTCCCCTCATCGGTGCCCACCAGGGGTTGCGGGGGGGGGGTCCAGAGCTCCCGAGGCGGCCCGAGCCCGCCCCGAAGCAGGCCACGACAGGCTAAGGGGGTCCCGAGAGGGCCCAAGACGGTCCCACGAGGCCCCGAAGACGTCCGAGATGCCTTCAAGACAGCCGACGAGGACTCCAACACGCTCCAGTACGGACTCAAGAGGCTCCCCAAGAGGGCCCTGGAAGGCAAGATTCGCTCGTTTTCCGAGTGTTTGGGATTTTGGTGTTCTCGCTTTTCTTGCTTTCCAGCGCTCCTTCACGGCCTCGGAGGCCCTTCAGATCGCTCCAAGAAGGCCCACGAGGCCCTGACGAGGGCCCCAAGACGGCCCAGGAGGCTCCCCAGACAACCCAATTGTGCCCCAAGAGCGCGCCAAGAAAAGGCCCAGAGGGGTCCCGAGGTGGCCTGGGCCCGCCCCGAAGCAGGCCACGACAGGCTAATGGAGGTCCCGAGAGGGCCGTAGACAGTCCCAAGAGGCCCCGAAGACGCCCGAGATGCCCTCAAGACAGCCGACGAGGACTCCAACACGCTCCAGGACGCTCCCCAAGAGGGCCCTGGGAGGCAAGATTCACTAATTTTCGGATGGTGTTTGAAGGATTTAGGCGTTCTCGCTTCCCCCGTTTCCCAGCGCTCCCTCACGGCCTCGCTCGGAGGCCCTTCAGATCGCTCCAAGACGGGCCACGAGGCCCAGAAGAGGGCTCCAAGACGGCCCAGGAGGCTCCCCAGACAACCCAACTGTGCCCCAAGAGCTCCCCAAGATAGGGCCCAGAGTGGGACCGCCAACCGATATTTCGATGTCTCTGGCCCTAGAGGCCGCCTGTAGGCCCCCGGAGGCCACCAAGAGGCTCCCACGAAGCCCCGTGAGACGCCCACGAGGCCCCCAGGAAGCCCCAAGAGACCCCCAAGGGGCTCCCAGGGAACGCCCAAGATGCCCCCCAACACACCCCAAGAAATCATGTCCCCAGAAAACCTTCCGGGAACATGGTTCATCATGGGCCCGAGAGTTCCCGGAGGCCCCTAAGGGGCCCCAGGGAACGCCCAAGAGACCCCCCAACACACCCTAACAAACCATGTCCCCAGAAAGCCTTCCAGGGACATGGTTGATCATGGGCCCGCGAGTCTCCAGAGGCTTCGAAGTACCATCATGCTACAGGAGAGCTGTTTGGGAAGTTGATTGGGAACATGACTGATCGCCTTTCGCGGCCCTCTGCAGATCGCTTCGCACAAAGTTGCCCCAAGTCCCAAGTGCCCTCTTGAACCGACGACGACGACGAAACGACGACGACGACGACGAAACGACGACGACGACGATGACGACGACGACGACGACGACGACGACGACGACGACGACGACGACGACGACGACGACGGCGCGCCCCAATGTGCGACGACGACATTGCGACGACGACGACGACGACGACGACGGCACGCCCCAACAGGCTCCCCAAGACGCCCCCAAACCCATGCTCTCAGAAGGCGTTCTGGGAACCCGATTCATACGGCCTCCGCCCCGTGAAGCAATGAATTCGTCAAGGTCTGGGGCCTGCTAGAACCTGAGCGCGCGCGAAGCGCGCGCGATGGTTCTAGTAGATCTTTTATATATATATATATATAGATAGATAGATAGATAGATAGGCAGGCACAGCCGTGGCGACGAGGGCTCACCAGGAGGCCCAACAGGGCGAAGCTGAGGCGAGGGTCGCGGTCGCGGTACCGCTTCTGACCAGCAATTTACAGATCCCTCAGTCCTGTTGGGGAGGCGGCCCAAGTTAGGACCGTAATGTTATCCCCCATGCACAAGTGGCTTGCGCGTGGCCAAACATGTCTTATAAGTGGGCTAGCAGTGCCTCATAAGTGGCATGATATTCGAATCGAGTGGCTGCGCCAATCTGGCGGAGACCTCGTAGCTGCCCGAGCTACCTGGGGAACTCGCCGCCCGCTGATGAGCTTGCTTTCGCCAGATCTAGGCTACCTCGGCCTCCATTTGTAAGCTCCCTTTCCCCCTCCCCAGAGGTCCAACGCATCGAAAAGATCAAGACGGAGGGTTTTCGCGAATTTCGGCCCCTCGGGGCCCTCGCCGGGCCTCGGGACCGTCAAAAAACGACTCAGGATGAAAAACCGGTCCTGGGGAAGGGGTCGAGACTTCCGGGGACCGCGCATGGAAAAAATCACGACGTCGGATCTCTGGGTCAGCCACCCCCGCGGTCATCCCGGAAGGACTGCGGCGACGGCACAAAGTGCCCGCGCGGCCTCCCCCGACTGCCCCGCGCGCGAGCTGGCGAGGCCCCGCCGGCCCTCGTCGCTCCAGAGCCGCCGCTTCTCGGACCGGCAGGGCCACCTGGAGGTGGCGCGGGGCGGTCGCACCCCGACCTGCAACGTGATTGGACATGAAGACGCCATTGTTTCGTCGTGCAGTCGGGGCGCTGAAGAAGGAGCCTTTTTCGTTGGGGAGGGGCTCGGTGTTCCTTGATGGCTTAACAGTTTGTCTGAGGTTATCCTGAGGTTTTCCATGGGAAATCGAAGTTGAACTTATGGGGATAAGGGCCTCGTTCCTTATTAAGGGTTTCTCAGGTCAACGCCCCGACTGTAGTCGCCGTCTGGCCGCGGGCCCTTGCCGGGCTCCGGGAGCAGCAAGAAGCTGCCCTGGGTGACAAAACAAGCGGTCATGGTGAATGGGTCGGGACCCTTTGGGGGGCCAGCGTAAAGAGAAAACGCGGCAGCGGATGTCTGGGGAAGATGCCCTGGGATCCGGGCGCCGCATTTTCGTTGGCAGCGGGCGTTTTCGCTGAGTTTCGGGGCCCGAGGCCATCACCATCACAGGTCGATCTGGCTCGAAGCATGCAGCAGAAAGACGAGGTCCAGGGCTCCTGGCATCGCTCGGGCGTGTGCATTTTTTCTCGGCGAGGGCCATCGAGGAGCATCCTAGATCATTCTTCAAACAAAGAAAACACGCACGAAACCGACAAAAAAACAGGGAATGGACGTCCGAGCGATGGCCATGGCTCTGCTCGTGACTTGTCGCGAGTTTGTATTCTTTGTTCCGCAACGCCGATCTCAGACGGTCGGGCGAGCAGGCGGTAAGGCTTCGGGTTGCGCACCGCCAGCCTTATCGCGTACAGTGGATGCCTATGCCACGAAACACCCTGCTTGCCCCCAGGGTGCCCTGGATTTCTTGGGTGTCGATGGTTTTGCGATGGAGAGCTTGGTGCTCCCACACGAAAATGAACGAACGTCCTGGGGTTCCAGGGTTGGGTTTCTTGTGGACGGTTTCTTGTGGTCGAGCTCCTACAGCCCCAGATGGCTTCAACAGGCCCCCCCGAGTAGTCTGGGGGCGGTCTTATCACCCTGGCGCCTTCTCCAGAGGCGCCCCTGGGGCGCTCTGGTGTCGAGACCGCTCCGGACTAACTAATCGGGGGGCCTTTGCCAATTGGGACTACTCGGGGGTCCTGTCGAGGCCAGATGGGACTACAGCGGAAACCCATGCCAAGACACACCCTGCTTGCCTCCAGGGTGCCCTGGGTTTCTTGGGTCTCGATGGTGCTGCCATGGGAGGCGTGACGTTCCCACACAAACAAACCATGGACGCCCTGGGGTCTCAAGATTGGGTCTCTCATGTAGGGTTTCTTCAGTGGCAAATCATGAGAGCCTGGTATACCCTTTGGATTCCGTCTTTAGCGTCGACTGGCGACGATTAGCGTCTGGAATTCGATGAGATAGTGATGATTTAGCGTCGGTTGGCGTCGATTCTGCGTCGATTAGCGTCGATTTAGCGTTAATCCCAGACCCCCGACGTCATGATCTTTCCATCACGTCGATCCCAAGAGTTCTCGACCCGTTCCCGAGGACCAGTTTCTCAACCTGAATCGTTTTTTGACGGTCCCGAAGTTCGGCAAGGGCCCCTAGAGGCCGAACATTAGGAAAAACATCCCGTCAAATTGTTTTTATTACCCAAGGGGGGTGGGATTAGCATCGGTTCGCGAAAGCCGACAAGAGGGTATGGGAGGCTCCCGTGCGTTGCCACCGAACGGTGCGTGTGCCTTCCTATGGCCGAGCCAGGAGGAGGATGAGGAGGAGGAGGAGGAGGAGGAGGAGGAGGAGGAGGAGGAGGAGGAGGAGAAGAGCAGCAGGAGGAGGAGGAGGGGGAGCAGGAGGAGGAGGAGGGAGGAGGAGGAGGGAGGAGCAGAGAGGAGCAGGAGGAGCAGGAGGAGAGGAGAAGGAGGAGCAGGGAGGAGGAGGAGGAGCAGGAGGAGGAGGAAAAGGAGGAGGAAAAGGAGGAGGAGGAGCAGGAGGAGAGAGGAGGAGGAGAAAGGAGGAGGAGGAGGAGGAGCAGGAGGAGGAGGACAAGGAGGAGGAGGCTCCCGTGCGTTGCCAGCGGACGGTGCGTGTGCCTTCCTGGGGCCGAGCCGGCGGGGTGCGCGGCGGCATGCGACGCCCCCCGGGCGCAGGGAGGGCTTCTAGCCCGGATCGGCGCACCCCGACCCCCTCGGGCCGCGTGTTAGCCCAGGAGGGAAAAATACACACACTACCAGCCTCGAACATATCCCTGACGTCATGATTTTTTGTCACGACGCTGCCCCCCCCCCCCCCCCAGAGGTCTCGACCCCTTCCCTGGGGCCTGTGTCTCGTCCCGAGCCGTTTTCTGACGGCCCCGAGGCCCGGCGAGGGCCCCCAGGGTCCGAGAAAATAGCGCCCCCCCCCCCCCGCCGTGATTTTGCCATGGCTCGAGGGGGTCTGGGAACCTCGCAAGTTACCAGCCTCGAACATATCCCTATCCCTAAGATTGACATGCCAAACAACGATGACAATCTTAGGGATGCGCCCTCCAAAAATAAGGGAATCCCTAAGATTGGCATCGTGATGAGGAGATGCGCAGCATAGGGATAGGGATATGTTCCAGGCTGGTTTAAAAATACACATAGACACAATGAATCGTCGATTTTTCCAAAATTATGGGAAACTATGGGAGGTGGGGGGGGGGAAGACGAAAACCCAGAAACTATGCGCATTTATGGAGAATCCTGTTACTTGTGCGTGTTTATGTGTGTGTCCCAGGGCCCCTTCATCAACATCGGGACCCCAGACCCCCACGGGCAATGCAAAAACAATTACGGGGGGGTCCTAATTTGCGGCCTCTGGTAGCCCTTTCCGGGCCTCGGGGCTGTCAAAAAACGACTCAGGATGAGAAGCCGGTCTTGGGGAATGGGTCGAGAACTCTGGGGATCGACGGGAAGGTTTTTTGTTATTTCTAAGGAAACGAACCATGATACAAACATAATAACTCGGAGGTCCGCGCGGAGTTCTCGGATCCGCGCTGGAGACCCCTGCGGCGCCTCCGGCGCCGCCCCATGGCGCGCTCCGCGCGCCAGGGAGGGGGGTCCAGCGCCGATCCGAGACATCCGCGCGGACCTCAGAGCTTTTATGTTCATGTCCTTGCTCGTTCCCTGACTTTTCGGCCTCTGGGGGCCTTCAACGGGCCTCGTTGGAGGGGATTCGGTGTCTGGTAACTATCTGGTGACAGGAGGGCGGTCGCGTTGTTTGAGCAAGCCTCTGATGCTGCATGCAGTCGAATCCCCAAGATACTGCTGTAGTGCTTTTCTGTCCGACCGTTGGGAACAGGGGCGGGCGCGCCCTGCGCGAATCTGGCCCTAGTGACTCAGGAGGGGAAAAAACACACAGACACAATGAATCGTCGATTCCCAGGAAAATATAGGAAAATATGGGCAGTTGGGGGGAAGACAAAAACCCAGCAAATATGGGGAAATAAGGGGGATTATTTTATTTGTGTGTATTTATTTGTGTGTCCTGGGGTCCCTTCAGTGAAGTAAACCTTTGCTGGAACAGGAGTACCCACCATCGGTCGTTGAAAGTAGGTATTTTGGGATTCCCAGTGCCCCATCTACTCCAGCCGCCTTCCTGCTTCAAGCGTCGAGTGGTTTTCCCTCTTATGTTTCTACCTGCTTCTTCCGACCGATGGGTAGAGGCAAGAAAGCCTTCCAAGGGCCTGGGGACTGAAACAAACGCGGCTCGGAATGAGGAACCGGCCCCCGGGAAAGGGTCGAGACCTCTGTGGGCCGACGTAAAGTATGAAAAGATTCTGACGTCGGGGGTCCAGGCATGTAGCTCTGGATCTTCGGGGGACCTGTCCTGTCCGCAGCCTTTCCTCGATGTATTCTGGCGTGGGTTCGACGCGGTTCCGACGTGAGGTCGACGTGGATTCGGCACTGATTCGACGCAGGTGCCACGCGGGTTCGACGCGGATGGCGGGTGCGATGGGACAGACGAGGTTCTCCCGAAGATGCAACATGATGTACGGTGGGGGCGTTGGTTGAGGAATGTGCCCGGGAGGCTCCAGACCCTGGATGATTCCTTATTTGATGGTGAGCGGCGGTGGCGTCCATGAGCAAGCCTCAGGTGGTGTTCCGCCGGCTTCCAGACTTTGAATGCCTTGTATACCTCGATTACACTTATAAGAGTGGCCTTTGGTGTGGGCTCACCGGGGCCCCCCAGTCGGCCCCCCGGCAGTTTGCGCGCTCGGGTTTGGCTCCCCCCGCCCCCCGGAAGCCGCGCACCGAGAAGGTGGCTCTTACGTCGGGCCACCCCTGCGTTTGGGCGATTGCCCCAGGGTTTCTTACCCAGCGCCCTCACCGCATGTGCAGAGTTCTCTTCTCCTCTCGCGGAAACAGACAGAATGACCGATGCAAGAACTCGGAAGGCCGCGCGGATCTCTCGGGTCGGCGCTGGGAATACTAATACTATGTGTGCGTCGCCCCCCCTCAGGGGCGACGCGCGCACCGAGTGTGTGCGTCGTGGCGGGCGCTTTCTGGCCACACCGCTCGGGAAACGATGCACACCAAGATGACCACACTATCTGTTCGGGTCGGACGCGCGCCTCCCAGGATGACGTATAGTACTACCCAGACCCACGCCGCCATGATTTTTTCATAACGTTGACCCCCAGAGGTCTCGACACATTTCCTGGGACCTGTTTCTCAGCCCGCGTCGTTGTTTGACGGTCCCGAGGCCCGGTAAGGGCCCCCCCGGAGGCCGAAAAGAGCGAAGGACCTCCCGCCGTGGTTTATGTCACAGCTCGAGGTGATCTGGGCATGTCCCTGTGCGTTCCATGCCTGCTCCCCTACTGTTAAGTCGGGCCTGTCCCTCTACAGAAGAAAGATTCAAAAATAGTAAAGAGATCGACAGAGGACGTTTTCTTTTTGCATTTTTTGGGATCATTTGGGGGTATGTTCTAAGTATGTCTCATTTTCGTCGAGAATCCCCCTGTAGGGGGACACGCTCGACTCCACCCTAATGGAGGATGACGATTAATAAATGACCGGGGGTCGTGTTCACGCGGCGGCGCCCAAGATGACGATTAGAAAAAACCGGCCGCGGGCTGGAAAACTATTTTTGAATCTTTCTCCTCCAGTCTCCAGTCAGAATATTATGCAGAAGTAGCGGCAAACTATGTTCTAAATCGTCCTCTCCAATGTTTGCTCTATTTTTTTCATCGTTCTTGTGCAGAAATAGCAGAAAACTATGTGTTTTAATCGTTCTCTTCCATTTTTTATTCATCGTCGTCCCGCATCACTGCTGAGGTGGTCGTGCCCTCGGCGCCCGGGAGGCAGGCCCGCCAGCGCACCGCCTTGCACTCCGAGCTGGGCTACCGCCGCAGCTCGGGCGACCACCGCCCGCGCCGCGCGGCGAGCAGCATAGCCCGGGGCGCGTGCAGCTCCGAGTCGCCGCGCCGGAGCCCGAGCCCGAGGACTGTCTCGCAGGACTGTCTGCTCCTCCTCCTCCTCCTCCTCCTCCTCCTCCTCCTCCTCCCTCCTCCTCCTCCCTCCTCCTCCTCCCTCCTCCTCCTCCGCCTCATGCTCCTCCTCCGCCTCCTCCTCATCCTCCTCCTCCTCTTCCTCCTCCTCCTCCTCCTCCTCCTATTGCTCCCTCCTTCTCCTCCTCTCCCCTCCTCCTCCTCCTCCTGCTCCACCTTCTCCTCCTCCTCCTCCTCCTCCCTCCTCCTCCTCCCTTCTCCTCCTTCTCCCTCGTCCTCCTCCTCCTCCCTCCTCCTCCTCCTCTCCTTCTCCTCCACCCTCCTCCTCTCTCCTCCTCCTCCTCCTCCGCCTCCTCCACCTCCTCCTCCTCCTGCTCCTCCTCCTCTTATTGCTCCCTCCTTCTCCTCCTTCTCTTCCTCCTCCTTCTCCTCCTTTTCTGTTTGCTTTCCCTTGTCCTCCTCCTCCTCCTCCTCCTTTTCCTCCTCCTCCGCCTCCCCTTCTCCATTCCTTTCCATTATAGATGACTTGTCCCTGTCGCACCCCGAGGCCAGTTTTTCGGGCGGGCCGGTCTTTTCGCCTGAGACTACTTCACCATTTATGGTTCTGAAGCTGAAAAAGTGACCACAGTTTCACAGATGGAGGGCGGGCCGTTTTCGAAATGTGGCTCTCGCCTTAGCGCCGCGCATTTTGTTTCTCAAAATTTGCAACAGCTTCACGGATTGAGGGCGCGCGATATTCAAAACATGGTCCTCGCTTTAGCGCCGCGCACATTCGTTTTTTGTTAAACAATGTAAGAGCTTCACGGGTTGAGCGCGGGTCGTTTTCGAAATGTGGCTCTCGCCTTAGCGCCGCGCGCAGTCATTTTAACAATTTGCCAGAGCTTCACGGATTGAGGGCGGGCCGTTTTCGAAATGTGGCTCTCGCCTTAGCGCCGCGCACATTCGATTTAGAATCTGCAAGAGTTTGACGGATTGCCATGATCAACGTACCAGGCATGGTGTTTGGGAACGTGTCAGGATTACGCGGGCACAACAGTTATGTTGATTCGCGGAGTTGAAGTCCCAAAAATAGACGCAGCAGTCAGCTTGATACATGGCGTTGAAAACCCGAGAGCAATGCTTTGGCACGCTTCAGGATCTTCAAACGGTTGTCTTCCAACGAGGCAGTTCCATTACTGAAACAGAACCGTTGTAAGGGGCCTACGAAGAGGGAGCTTGGAGGGAGGGTTCGTTCCAACATCGTTGGTGACTCTTGGGTTTACACTGGTCCTTCTCCTCCTCCTCCTCCTCCTCCTCCTCCTCCTCTTCCTCCTCCCCCTCCCCCTCCTCCTCCTCCTCCTCCTCCTCCTCCTCCTCCTTCTCTCGCAGGAGCTCGGATCTAGGCCTCCTTGGTGGGGTCTGAGCACATGGGGTCGGAGGGTCGCGCTGCAGCGACGATGCTGTGAATAGAACCGTATAATACCCTCAGATATACTCATTATCCTCACTCTCTTGCGCCTGGCCGTTGGGGCTCAGGTATTGTTATAGATCGGTCAAACCTTCGATCGTGCAGGAGGAAAAGATATCCATCTTTCCCTCTTTTCCTCTACCAACGGATCAGGGGTTCTGTACCTTTGTACTCCAACCCCATACACAGGTTATCTGCCTTTTAAAGCTCGCAGTTCATCGAACCCCGCGTCGCGATCTCGCACGCGGCCTCGATGGAACCCAAGCCGCGCGTGCGCCGTAAGGGGTCCGTCGGGGCCTCGCGCCCGAGCTCTCCGACGGCGCGACGGCTCGGTGATGAGTTGGAGAGCCTTAGTGTGGACCGTGTGGGTGTCCCAGATACCCCCCCCCAGCTCAGACGGACCCGAGGCGCGGCTAGCTGCTGAACTTCACCGCCACGCCGCCCGCGGGGGGACAGGAGAAGGAGTAGGAGCAGGCAGTCGAGAGTTCCACACGCCTACCTTCGATCCTCCATCTCCTCTTCCGTCGGGAGCAATCCCAAGTGCGTCGGGCGCCAGCTCCACTGGTCCTGATACGCCAGGGCGCTTCCGCGCTACCCGCCGATGGAACACAGGTACTGGCATGACCAGCCCTGCGACCGTTCCTGTAGCGGAGCACGTTGCTGCCTTTGAGGAACTCGGTAGACCAGTGGCGGCGCAGCCGCAGACGCAGTGTCCCCAGGTATCATCTCATCAGACACCACACACACGGCCCTAGCCGCAGCTCGTCCTTGCGTAACCGTCGTGGGGCCACAGGCCCATACGACGAGACCAGGTCGAGCCCGCGTGCCGCCTCTCAGAGGCCATGCGCTCCTCGCGAGAGGATGCAGAGGGGAGCCGACGCTCCCCACCTCTCCTTCTCTGACGACCTGCCGGCGGTAACGTCCGCTGCAGGTGACATAGCTGAGCTCAGAGACCAGGTTGAAACCTTCGTGTCCAGACAGTACTCTGGACTGACGCAGAGCGTCCAGACGAACGCTGCCAACGCTGCTGCCCCACGTCAAGTTTTCGATGGCGCCTTAGCGATCATATATTCCAGGATCGCTGAAGATCGTCGCATCTTAGGTGAGCTGCAGTACCAGGTTGACCGTGAGGTGTCACACTCAGGTGAACTGTCAGCGACGGTCGAGCACCTGCGCAACTACCTTGCGCAGATGGAGCAACAGCTTGTGGTCGTCCGCGACACAGGCGTTTCAGCGGTCAGGATCCTCCACGACGAGATCCACGACCAGCTCCGCAACCGACCGCCTCCAGCCGAGGCCACCGACCTTGGCGACGTCCAGTCTCAGATCAACGATCTTCGATCCCACGTGGACCACACTACAGCGACGCTTCGCGCCGAAGGAAACACCAACTCGTCGTCTCTGATCGGCACACGGAGAGAATTATCGCCCAAAGGCTTGATGCGACCAACGCTGTCGTGCAGCCACTCACTATCCGGATCTCTGAAATGGAGCAGCGTTTCCCTGGTGCACAGGACGCCCTGGCAGAGTTGCGCGTCGGACGAGCCCGGACTGATCAGCTGGATTCTCCTCCCACGGTTTACGATTTCGCCCGCCTCGCTGACGGGCTGCAGGAGGTTGAAAAGGCGGCGGACCACGCGCGGCCTGAGCTCTCCCAGGTTATTCGCGCGAGAGATTCTGGAAAGGTACGCGTCGAGGAGTGTCTCGCACGTCTGGACAGTGAGCTGGAAGCACGCATCGCCCGTCTCCGAGCCCACGAGCAACGACTTGATCGGTATTCACAACGTTCCCGGGACACTGACGAGTACACACGCCAAAAAGTGGACCAGATACACGAGGATATGACGAGCTGGACAAATCAGTTGATTGACCACACCAACGACACCACACTTCACCTTCAGCCTACAACCGACCTGCCCAGGCCGACGGCGGCGCCCGCTGAAGCACCGCGCGCTTCTGCAGGACAACAACGACGCACGTCACTAGGAGCAGCCTCCGCGGCAGCTTCGGCACAGACACGCCACGTGTCTCCCGTGCGCGCAGAACCAGCTACCGACGGTGTACCGACGTACCGATACCCTCACAACCATTGTCTGCGGTTTCGGTCAATACTACGACCCCTATCAAGGAGTCAGACACCGTCCGAGTCCCCGTCTTGCCTAAGATCACACAGCTGCTTGAGCGGCAGCAAAAGGTGCGCGGGAATTTTGGGGCCGCTTCAGGGCGACCATCCAAAGCATATTCGTTCCTACGCGTGGCTGAACAGCCCGAATGTACCTTTGAAGACTTGCAAGACAGCGGAGACTCCGAGAGCATCGATTGCAAACTCGCTACCGCTCTCAGCGACATCTTATCTTCCGATTTGCGCTGCCAGATCAGGCTCATCGAGACCAGAGAGCACAAGGCAGGACGCATGCTCAAAGGACGCTGGATCTACTGGCACACCCTACAGCCCTACAAAGTGACAGAGGTTGATTACGACCTACATGATTTTGAGCGCCCTCCAATAACTGAGGATGAGAGATGAGGATTTGCAACGAATCATTACCGACTGGGACGCTTTACTATTGGATTGCCGAGAGGCACCCGACCCAAAGATCTTGGCATCTTTGTTTCGCACACAGATTCGGCGACATGCCTGGATGAAACAGGATATGTACGAGTACCAGCGCATGAAGATCAGCGACCCGAATCGTACCTATGATTGGCTCCGACAGCGCGTTCTGGACGCACTGGAGCTCGAGCAACTCGAGAATAATCAAAATAAGTTACGGTACGGGCATGAGACTCGTTCTCAGGTGCACATCTGCGCAGTCTGGAAGAAAAGGCAATTGTCGCAATGGTGAGCGCTGCAAGGCTTTACATACCTTTTCCAGGGATGGGAAGGGCAGCGGATCTTTTCCGAGCATCGACCGCCGGCGGCAACGCTCGCCGCGGCGCCTTAGCCCCTGCGAACCCCAAGAAGCCAGCATCGAAACCATTCTGCTTCGAGTTTGCCAAGCGCAGCTCCTGCGCACGCGGCGACAAGTGCAACTTTGCACATATGGCGCAGTGCAGTTACTTCACACAACAAGTGCCACAAGAGTGACAAATGCAAATCCGCTCATCTGGCACCTGGCACGAAGACACCTGAGCGAAGCCCCAGCCGACCACGGACTTCCAGCCGGACAGTCGTGGCCGACCGCCGCCCCGTTGATCGGGGAGCCGACGCTCTCCGCAACGCGGGGGGGGGTCCGCAATGCGGGGGGCTCATACAACAGACGCGATTATTCCAGGCTGCGTCGACCAGCCCCAGAGAGACAGACGGCAGAAAGGATCGCGACTTTCGGAGGCGTTCTACACTTCAAGCACCTACGTGCATATCTCCAAACAGAATCCTTACACCTCAGTTCAACCATACAAATTCAATCACTACAAGAATGAGGTGGAGCTCGTGATCGACATGCAGATTGCCACGAAGGCTGGGTGCAGATTTTGGCTCGGCGCACAGGGCGCTATCATGACTGAGGACGTGGTTCCAGCTGCCGCAATCCTCGCCATTCGTCGCATCACACCCTACC